CAGAAATATATGACAGCGGAGACAAATTTCGTTGGAAGAAAAACATGAAAATTAAATAGTGGCGGTAAGAAAGTTTGAAATGTTACGGGCTACCAAGGTTAAAATGAGCGGCAGTGAAATAACAAAGTGACCGCTATGATAGCTGCGATCGCTGAACTTTTGTTTTTCTCCGCGATCGTAGCGATCATATGGAAACCAGGCTCAAGTCTATATATATTATAGGAAAATTCATTATCTGACGAGGGAATTCAGCGTTATAAAATTACACCCGAAAACCGATATCGCACGAATCGCGAAGCGATTCAATGAGTGCGATATCGGGTTTCAAGAGCAATTTAACGCGGAATTCACGAGTCAGGTAATGGATTTTCCTTGAATCGCATAATTGGATAAAAATAAGAAGAAAAGAAATCAGCAATAATATTGTTTGTTTTTATCCTGAGCGCGCGCTCCAGAAAGCCATTTCAAAGTCAACTGCCAGAACTGTCATTGCGTTAGCGAATAGGAAGTAAGGTCAGTGGTACACGTTTCAACTTTCGACAACTTTATTTGTATCTTGTGCTTGTTTTTGCTTTTGTTTTCAAACTTTTTACATGTAAACAAGCTTTTACACACACTAATCTTAAGGACAAATAGTGGTATTTCACTGAATTTACAAGCCGTTTATCTATAATATCTTTTCTCAAATTTCCAGATCATTTACTCGAGACTGAGGAAAATAATTTAGTAAGGGTTATCGGCCTGAAGCGAAGGCAATAAATCACATAACCACGAGCTAAAGGCCGATAAACGGCTTATTTTTACAATGGCGAGGATTCCTCAAGGGATGCAAAAATACATTGACGAAAAATGCCTCTATTGTTCATTTTTCTTTTGTTTTTTAACACACCATGCTGGCACTGTCGGCATTTACAAGTTCCTCGGCTTCTTTGCCCCCACAGGGATTTCGCCCAGAAGGCGAAATCCCAAGGAGGCACTCTAGTAACTCGCGCGTATATTAAGGAAAGTACTTACAGTTGAAATATACACTCATACAGTCAATATAGAAAAAAATCTCGATTTGCTTGAACAGGGGCCGCGTAGAATCGGTAGGTAATAATGACGTTTCTATTGTTTGCGCCCGTAAGTACGAAATGGTTAGGATAACGTAAAGACAGAAAATCCCGAAAGGACCGCTCAGGTAGATTTTGTGACATATATTGTGCAGTCATACTTCGATACTCTTTTGCGTTACTATTTCAATTTTCGCACCAAGGATCTTTCGACCGACCTGCTTGTTTACAGATAAAGAAAATGCCGGGCGAGGGATCACTACTGGAACTGACAAGGAAATTCAGTCGAGGAATGAAGCAAGAATACCACAAAACACAAAGAGGTCAACTAACATGTCTTCATGGAGTACACGAGTTCGGGATGACTGGTTAAAGAACGGAACACCTTACCATGACAGCGACACTTTCGTGGATCCGTAGAATTTTTAAGACACTGTTCAATTTCGGAAATCGATGAACCACCAACTAAGAAAATCCGTGAATGTGGCGCAAAAGAAACGCAGCTCAGTTTGATTTTAGCAATTGCAGCGTCGTGTTTAATATTTCCAATAAGCATTTGTAAATTTGTTCTTTATGAAAAGTTAATTAAAATGCGAGGGGATTATGTATTAATATGCAAGGGGGATAAGTGACTTATCCGCCTTGCATATTAATACATAATCCCCTCGCATTTTAATTAGCTGTTCATTAGCCCCGCTCTTCCCTTCAAACAATCAAAGCCGCACCCTACTTTTCAGACAGTTGATTTGGGGGTTACATAATATATTCCAACCGAAAAGAACAAAGGAATCCGAGGTTATGTAACAATAATTTTTTTTCTGTATATGTGACCCTCGACCCCTGGCACTTCCTCCGTTGTCGCTTCTCCGTCTTGCTTGGTTGAACTTTTGCTTGCCATTTTCTGGGCCATGTTGACAGGATTTTCTTGCTTTTTCGTTGTCGTGAGCGAAAGAGGTTTTTTATGCCTCTCCAAGAATTTGTAGTTCAGTTCAAAACAAGGAAGAGGCTCCGGCTCACTTTGAAAAACGGTTTTGTTTGTTTTTGGCTCTTGAAAAAGTGACAATGGTTTTGAAAACATTTTAAAATGACATTGTATAAAAACATTTTTGCAGTTCTTGTGTTAGAATTTGACGATAGTTGTTACGTAGATGTGAAACATTATCACTTAGACCCTGTTTATATGGAGTGGGGGACCCCGGTTTAGTGGGGTAGGTTTCTTTTGTTTTGTGTCCTCCAGAGCGTGAAAACAAAAGAAACCAACCCCACTAGACCGGGGTCCCCCACTCCATGTAAACAGGCCCTTAGCCTCTCGTTTTCAACTCGCAATTCCCCGCTAAATATCTCACTTCGTTAACCAATCAGAATGCGAGTTTTTATTCAATTATGCGATTCTAGACTAGATGCGGCAGCTTTAAAGGCGAAACTTGCTTAAGTAGGATTCCTTACTTATTATCTAAGTTTCGTAGACCTGTAAAAAATAACAGAAACTTGTCGTTACCACATATTTAAAGGAATTAAAAATTACGACCAAAAAGTTCGTCCTGACAGCAAAACAGTCCGTATTTTTGCGTAGAACTGAAAACGGAGAGCGAGACTGGGAAGAGACGCTAAAAATACCGACTGTCTGTTTTGCATGATTCGTTCGAATTACCTACTTCTCCCAGCCACGGGCAATTCCCATTGGCTAAATTTTGACGCAAGCTCATAGCAAACTGTCAAGTTATATTTGCAACAAGTCATTTGTGATGTTCCCTTCCGTGATGAATTCATTGTCCGTTGGTGTTTTCAGTTGCGAAAAAATCACAGCGCAGTTTCTACCTTTGTTCCGCGCGGCGAGAAAACTCTTGTGAAGAAAGATTCCCGTCGTCGAGGACAACGTAAAGTTCGTTTATCAGAAAGTCAGCCAACTTTGGTAACGTTGTTTCACCTTTTTCCAGTAGGGGCAAAAAAAAAAAAAAATTCAGAGCTTATCCATCCATTCTTAAAATCAGGGGCAACAACGTCAATTGTCGGAAAATATCTGTTCGGAAGACGACACTGAGACGATTTGAGATCTAGAATTTTCGGAACATTTGTTGTAAAATTTCTTGCTTTCCTGCCTCTCCTAGGATTTCGAACATCTAAAACATGGTATAATTGCCCATTTATAACGGACTTTTATCCTAAAAAGGTCACCTAGAATTTTCGGGAGCCTTTTTTTTTGGCTGAAATTTTCGAAAAGGTAAGTTTTAAGAGGCGGTCCGTGTAAGAACCGACCACTCGAATTTCCGCGGAAAACAGAATTCCTTCATTTTTTTTCTGCAACATAATTAGCCCATTCCATTAACAAAAGTCGAATTTGTTTGGCTCATAGTGCTTTTTTAAAAAAATTTGGGCGGCGATTTGCCTGGACGGTCCAAAGCTGTCATGATCGTCTTTTTGAAGGTCAAATTTAAGCGTTTTGTTCAAGGCTCGCAAAAATTTCGCATTTATCCAAATAGCATAAAACAAAAGTGTGATTTTAATTCATGCTTCCTTTGTTCAAAAAAGGCAAAATATTTAAATTCTGACTTTAAAAAAACGAGTTATGATGTTTTGAAAATACCACGTAAAGCGTCTTTGAAAAAAATGCGCGGTTATCCTAGTTTTAAAATAAGCTTTTTTCAAAAGTCTGACGTTATCTGGAGTCTTGGTCACCCTCCCTGTTCAGCAATAGGGCTAGTGTATCGAAATCAAGAAAAACATTTTTGGGCACTGTTGATTCCGAAGCACAAGAGTTCGATAAAGTTGGGTAATATTTTACTGTAATTGTGCGTATGACGTAATTTACGCATTTTGGTGATTCCTAACTTTCCCACTGAAAATCAAACCGAGAGAGCAAATATATTTAAAAGTGGCCTTTATTGTTCGAGATAAACTGTGAACAGCTAACAACTTACCAAATGCTACACGAAAGGAGGAATTGCGAAGTTTAATAGTCGAAATTATCGATTCCGGCCTAAGCTGTCAGTCGTCTAAGTTTACTTCCAAAAGCCGTTTACAAAATTTCATTCAATTAAATTGGTCGTAGGTTTTCCTGATCAACAAAAAAAGAAAAAGCTTTTCATTCAGGTTAAGCATATAATTATTTGACGAAAGTGAGTCCTGTTTAAAAGAATTACACATTTTATTATAAACACCCGGTACATTACAGCCGAAATTCAAATCATCTGAACAGTGTTAATTTCCCGTCACGCTGGCTACGCGTGAATGTCAGTCTTTTAGCTTGTCACGCGTATGTACCTTTTTAGTACGGTTGACAAAAAAAACATGTTCTTTTCTAATTCGACTTTTCAAAAAGTATAAAGGTCTTAAAACGTCTTTTCAAGGTTTCGAAAAATAACTGCCTCCACGATCTTTTTGAAGGTCGAAAAACCCTGTTGGTTACTATAATAGCGGTTTGTGCCTTAATGCGGCTAGTTACAGTCACAGCCTTCAAGAAATTCGGATAGGTTCGCTACAAGAATTTTTCTCTATCGCGAGAACTAAAAGGAATTTCAAAAAGTATAAAGGTCTTAAAACGTCTTTTCAAGTGTTTGAAAAATAACGGCCTCCACGATCTTTTTGAACTCGAGGTTGAAAAACCCTGTTGGTTACTATAATAGCGGTTTATGCCTTAACGTGGCTGGTTACTGTCACAGCCTTCAAGAAATTCCGATAGGTTCGCTACAAGAATTTTTTTTCTATCGCGAGAACTAAAAGGAATTTCAAAGTATTTCAACATGTCCTTGAGCATAGCAACGCTAAATGTTTCAAGTTTCTTCTCGTGTGAAAGGTCACATAAACCGTATGAATCATAGCAGATCGGATGCTTAGGACCAAGGTGGGTGGCTACCTCTTCCAGGGTGGCTCTTCTTTCCTGCTCTTCCTGTTCCGCCTCTACGTCTTCATTGAGCGCTTCCCGATGTGCTTTGCTTCTTCGCGAGGCCGCTAGCCTCGAAAAAATCCCTGTACTTGACCCTTTGTGAGCCAATGTTTCCTCTCAAACATCCGAGAACTGTCTGGGTTTCTTGCAGTTCGCATATCTGCTGCCACTTTTGCGGGATCTGACTTCATGCCAGTTCTTTCTCCAAGATCAAATTTCGTTGTTAGGTACTGTTTAACCTCGGTAGGAAAACGCACAGCTTCGTTTCGGAGTTTGTGTAGAGCCCATCCAGTCTGCAAGTCACTGCACTCGGGAGAGCGGCCAGTTTTATTCTTTTCGTGATGCTCCTTTACAACTGCTTCAGGCACGCTTCTGATTTCTTCGTCCTTATCAACAGTACGAAATTTCTCCGCCCAGTCTCTTCTGAGCTTCTGAGCTTCTTGGCTGTGCTCACCAACATCAAGGTGATTTTCGAGTTCACTGAATTTCTTGAAAACCATGTTGCACCCGGGCTCAGAACAAGAGAAAAGACCGTTGCATTGTTCATTTTCACTGTTTGTCTCTCTCTTATATACTCGAGCTTCGTTAAGAGGAAAGAAGTTTTCATGCACAATGAGACCCGTAGGACCTTGAGGTTCAGTTATGACCTCTCGGTAAGGAATAAACTTGCCTAGTCCAACACCATAAGCTCTCCATGCTCTAATTCCTTTCAGTTCAAACTTGAAATTGTGATACTTGCTGAAACCTTCTATCTTATGTACTTCGAGTGTCTTTTGAGTCTCATTCATTGCGCACACGGAGGCAGTTGTACCTTGAACAGGACGTTCTGAAAGCGCTACACGCATATCTTTCGCAGAAACGACATCGTGTCCTTCATTGCAATATCGTCGGATGGATTATTTCATTGGACAAAGGATTCTATCACAGATATCTTTTCCATACTGCGGCTCGAAAAAGTCATACCGTGCTACTTCAATGCCTACTCGTCTTCCGGCATCTCTAACTGCGACTAAGAGAAAGTTATTGTGGTAACAGCCTGCTTCGTCACTCCTTAGGTTCACTTGGGTAATCTGGGGATGTTCTTTCTTTACAACCTCAAGTGTGTTTTCGATGATCGAGCATACTGCGTACCAGTCTTGCTGGCAAAAGTCGAAGATATGAGCATACGATTGCAGCTCAATTTTTCCAGAGTCAACATTCTTAGTTATAAAGGTGGAAATATGCCAGCTGAGCCCCCGTTTGCCGAACCATTCAGACTGTTTCTCACGAAATTTTATTTGGAGGAACTTCATGGCCCAGTCCATGATCAGAATGGCTGACTGTGGGTCTTCTGATTTCAGTGCATCTTGTTTCGCCTCCTCCTGATTTATTGAGCGTACAATGTGCGCTTTCCACAGCAAGATGTCTGACTGTGCACGGTCAAAGTCGTAAAGGACATCTTCTCGTTGTTCGCAACTGTAAGGCTTCCATGATGACCCTTCAATCGCTAGTCTCACTTCCTTTAGAACATCCTTCAGCCCTTGGCATTGCTCGCAAGTCGATTGATGCTGATGCAGACAAGGATGCTGGAGCTCGGGATCAACAGGATCACTAAGCGCAAACTTTCTACAGTGGTCAGCGCAAGTAGGGTAATGCTGTTGACAGTGTACACGGTAGTCAGTTTTGAGATAGCGTTTAGCATCGCGTAGGTTTTGGCAAATACGTAAACACCACTGTTTCTCCATTCCTCCCTTCTCAAGAGTTTCAACCAGCGTCTCAATTGTCTGAAAGCCCGCAGCACCATCTGCAGCCGTATTGTCCAATCCCTGGAGCGATTTACGCTGAGACGCTTCTCGAATCTCCAATATTTTAAACAGAGAAGACCTACTAAGTGGCTCGTGACATTACTCTTTGCAATACTCCAAGTATTACTCAATCATTGTAGACCTTGTCAGGATCCTTACAACGTTAGGCATCTTAATTCTGTCACCATTATCTAGGGTGAGTACCTTGTTACCATATGAAACATCCTGATAAAAGTACGGTCTATTAATGAATTCTACAAAGTGGTCGACCTTCCCCATATCAAGGCGTACGCGATGCTTCGTCTTGATTTCAGGGATGGTCCCAGGACCGTGCATTTTAGCATGAGAACGTGCTTGCTTTATTTCCCATGTAGAGAGACTTCCGTAAGGTTGGTGAATTTTCTTAAGTTTGGTCATAGGGTATCTTTGAGCTTAAAGGCTCAGAATCTGTTTCTTTAAATTCCTGGTCTTTGCGTTCTTATAAGCAGTCATGAGTACCACAAGATCATCGGGGACTGGGCCATCAAATAATTCTCTTTGTACAGACATCATTGACTCGAAGAGCTCCTCTCCGTTACCTGAGGCAATTACATTACATACGTGCAAGCAGTCCTCTTTAGCCTTTTTTACAAATTTCAGCTGTTCCCCATCCCTTAAGTTTTGGAATGGAGTTTTAAGCTGATATTTAAGAGGCTCGCGTTCTACTTGTTCTTGTGTAGTAAGACTCGCAATTGTATCCATCGCCTCGTTATACCTGCCGACTGCATCGGTTACCACGGGTGAAGTTAAAGAGGCCTCCTCTGACCCTGGCGTCCAGCATGGTGTTATGGGATTCCAGGAAGCTGGCGTTGATTGGTCTTCAAGAAATGGAGTTGAAGTGACCATGCGACCGATGGCTCCCACAGCAGCCTCTTTAGCAGGTCTGCGGAGAATGAAAATGGAAAGGTTGCTACTTAGTTGCCTTGCGAAAGGGTAACCTGACAGGACAACCGTGTGTGTGTTTTGTATAAAATAACAACCAAACGACTACCCTCCCGACAGTACCTTTGAAGGAGCACATCTCCCCCAGTTTCCTCAGGGTATAGCCAGTCTGATTTCCGATCTACTTCTTCACAGTGTTTCTTTCTGCACGTTGTGCAAATAGCTATAGTAACAAAAAGAAACAAAAAAAGTTTTCCAACCTCGAAAGACTTGTTAAAAAAGTACTGAATTTACTACTAAGTTGATAATAGAAGGTATATCTTTATATCCCATCTTGGAAATTATGTAATGTAGGCTATAAATCAGCGACCGAATTTATGGATGACGCACAGCAAAGAACTATTGCTGTAATGAACTACACAAACCAAATTATGATCATTTGATATGTTATTTTTTTGGAAATGATTTTCTGGCTGCAAAATACTATCAAATACGGGATCGATCGTTTATCGTTCAGAAAATATATAGAATGGGACTTTCCCTCAGTCTACAGCTCGCTTTTAAGTAATTACGAACGAAAGTATTTAGTTGAAATGTTAAGGAAGACAAAACCCTTTAATTCTGATATGTTAATTATAAAATGAAAGCATAAAACAGTTATAGTTGCTAGTCTGATAGTACTTACGCGAGCCAACGGGAACGGCTTCTCCAAAGATATTTTTTATTTCCCTTGCAGTCTTGAAATTAATAACATGTGTTCCGGCTATTGCCATTTTCTTCCCGTGATGTTTTGGATACTGGCAGGTCTTTGGAGCTTGCCAGTATTTTCCCAAAGTGTAACGATGGACTGGACAAACCGTCATATTCTTGATCTGATCATCAGTGAGTTCTAACAGACCTGCCCTTGCCAGTATCAGATCCATTTCACAAACATTTTCCCTTGACAGGTGGGATTCATTAGGTGTGAACTAATGTCAGCGTTGCAACTATTCAAGCACACAAAATCTACACATCCTCGATTACTTCCACATTTTCCGCCTGTTAATGCGGAAAAAGAACAAAATGCAGCCATTCTATCTGCGAAGGTTATCTCGGAACACTGTAAATAAGCTCTACGTTTTGTGTTGCAAATTTGCATACGATATTAAATTAAGTAAACGACGCCAGAAAAATTAACTTAAATTGAATTAAAAACTTGAAGAAATTTTTAGTAAACCAGCAAAACATTTTTATTCTTAAAAGTAGCCAGTTTTTTTGTACCTTGTTTATTTTGCCTCTTTAAGCCTGATAAGTAGTTTCAGCTTCGATAAAATAACATCCAACATGTTTTGCACTGCAAACTGAAATCTGAAATTGACATCCTCAGACACAATATAAATAATGTCGTCTGCACGCAAAAACTTGTGGCTAGAAAATTCGGTACATTTTGGTAAACTATTTCTTTGCTGGATCGTGTCATAACTTTTGAGGTGGTAATTACACGGTAAATCTATTCACAATGTGTTTTAAATTTTTTTACCGTTCTAGCCCCTTTATTTCAACGAAATTTCTTAACTGTTTAGCCACAACTTGACATGGCAACATTCACCGGAGCTGCTACGTTTTTTTGGAACATCCCAATTTTAATTTAGGACAATATGTAGTGGATTTTAAGATATTCACTGTTTTTCCCCAGCATTAAGTTAGTTTTGAAAATAGTTGCTTCCTGACAGTAATGATTTTTAGTTTTATAGTAGGAAAGTTCGGAATCAAGAAAATGCGTAAATTACGTCATACGCACAATTACAGTAGATTGTTACCCAACTTTATCGAACTCTTGTGCTTCGGAATCAACAGTGCCCAAAAATGTTTTTCTTGATTTCGATACACTAGCCCTATTACTGAACAGGGATAGTGACCAAGACTCCAGATAACGTCAGACTTTTAAAAAAAGCTCATTTCAAAACTAGGATAACCGCGCATTTTTTTCAAGGACGCTGTACGTGGTATTTTCAAAACATCATAATTCCTTTTTTGGGGGGTCAGAAAATAAATATTTTACCTTGCTTGAATAAAGGAAGCATGAATTAAAATCATACTTTTGTTTTATGCTATTTGGATAAATGCGAAATTTTTGCGAGCCTTGAACAAAACGCTTAAATTTGACCTTAAAAAAGACGATCATGACAGCTTTGGGCCGTCCAGGCGAATCGCCGCCCAATTTTTTTTTTAAAAAGCACTATGAGCCAAACAAATTCGATATTTGTTAATGGAATGGGCTAATTATGTCGCAGAAAAAAAATGAAGGAGTTCTGTTTCCCACGGAAATTCGAGTGGTCGGTTCTTACACGGACCGCCTCTTAATCCCTATAATTTTCGGATCACTAGACTTTCAGCTAGGAAATCCGAACAGATGAAAAATTTTGGGGGGATAAAAATATGCCTATATCTACCGTTTAAATACTAAAGTACGTTTAACAATGCTATGTTTAAGTGGTTTTGAGCTAGTATTCTCGTTGGGTGCCCCCGTTAAAATTGCCGAACCGCGCTTTGAAACAGCAGCCGCCCATTCTACAATATCTGAAGCTCTCAGCTAGGGGTTTCTCCCTCTTCGAGGAGCAGGAACAGGCTTTTGTCGGCGTACTGCCACTTCCACTCATTTTTTATCTTCCAGAAGATTCGAAGCCAAGTGCAAACAAAAATAACACGCACTATTCTCTCGCGAAATCAATCACCGGGCGTATCAAATTTATAAAGAGGACGGAGTTGTGAATAGATTTTTGACAGCTCTACGTCATTTTTGAGCCCCCTGGTAATAACGAACTCATTAGCTGTGGTCACACTACAGACTTTTACCTAGGTAAACCCTTTTTACCTAGGGCAAATTCATCAAAAATCTACCTAGGTAAATTCATCTCGGGTTTTGTTTTACCTAGGTAAAAATTCTGGGAGGGTCACACTACTGATATCGGCTCCCAACATTTTCCCGCCCGTTAAATTTTTTGGAGCGTAAATTCAAGAAGGCAAAATGCGCAGGGATCTAGCTGATCAAAGAGACGTTTTTTTCTTTTATCTCGGTGTTATTTCTTACGCTAATTCAATGTGCAAGGTGAAGAAAGGCGAAGACGTAGACGACTTGTGCTCCCAAAATTTCTTTCACAGCTTGATCTATGTCCGGTTCTGTCATCAAGACCTTCGCCGACGAGCGTCTATTGGCTAGCAACCTCGGTATTTCATTTTTCCCTAGCTATTGCTTTGGGGTAGCTGTCAAGGGAAACTCTATTGTTTTCGAGACATATCCAAGACCCAGACGATAAAATTTCTCCGAGGTAAGTTACCTAGGGAAAAATCGGTCACACTTAAAAAATCAAGTTTCCCTAGGTAAACTGTCAACAAGTCGTGTTTACCTAGGTAAAAAGTCTGTAGTGTGACCACAGCTATTGTATCGAAAACGGACAGTCGTTTTTTTTTCTCTCGCCTCACATGCCCGTAGGGAATGTGAGGCTCGCGCGCTTCGCGTGCGTGAATATTTTACGCTGCTCTTAGTCTCCTTTAAACCAATTTGGAGAAAAACACCAACTTTTTTGCAGTCTAGTGCGTCCTGTGTAGAATGACCATGACACATCAATCATAGCGTTAATAACCCATATTGTTAAAAGAAAATGCATTTGTCTTTTTGCGACCAGGTGGCGGAATTTGTCAATTTATGCCCATTAGGATAAGACCGGAAAACTGAAGCATTAATTAGAAATAGATCGATGGCGTTTTGAAATAGCCAGCTATCGTCAGTGATAAATAGGAGATCAGCATACCTGCTGTTTTTGGTCAAACAGTTTTATCAGTCAGCGCGAAAAGCTGGCACCTCAGCTAGGTGACAAACAACTGTCTTTTTCCTGCGTTAAACGTTTGCCTTGATTTTTAATTGCTGGGCGTATAATTTTGATCTTCACAGGAAAACAACTCAGATAATTTAAGAAGCGAACAGCAGAAGGCTTTTAGTCACCAAAAGTTAAGAGGCCTTCAACTGTTCAAAAAAGCTGCAAAATTTGAGGTGAGAAAAGTAGACTGAAAACTTAATAACAAGAATGATCGATATAAAGGTGAGAGGTGATTTTTCCTACATCATTTCTTAGTTCTTCGTGTCTATTTTGGCGTCACTTTAATTTTCTGTATGTAAAATATTCATGTGTTATATATGTTGTAGTTAATCTTTTATCTCAGGTATTTTCTATTTTAGTTTCCTTTTTTTTTTTCAACTTCACTTAGCATACATTACCATCATCAGAGACAAAAGAAAAACAAAAATTACCTGAGATAAAAAAATAAAATAAAATAAAATAAAATAACTACAACATATACATGTCATATGTATATTGAATGTCAAGATTAATGCCACGTCTGGTTACTTCTCATCCACGGCTCGTGACCTTCCTTCCTTCCTTCCCTAGATTCAGCGATTAAAAAACCTACCGGGATCCAATAATTGTTTTCAATTATTATTATTTTTAAATAATTCCAAGGTTTAAAAACTTAGCTTACCTTCAACTGCATATCCCTCATCAATTCCTGAAGATATTCTACAAATACTAGACGTCGTCGTAAAAGAAACATTTTTAAACATTGTTTTTTCATTTTTTTTTTTTTCATTATATTTCTTCATTTTGCTTTCAGTAAAAGGATGTTACACCAATGTTTCGGATCAACGCATCAATTAGCAGTCGTCTTAAACACGAGCCAGTATCTTTTCCTTCATAGTAGACTTCCTTTTACAGTTAGCATGTTCATCGCTCACCTCATAGAAGCACTTCGAGGTATCAATCTTATGACTTCGTCATTCAGAATTTCAGAATGATTTCAGCTACAGTGATTGGATTGCGTTTACAATTCTTGACCAAGAAAAATGACGCTTTTCTCCATCAGCGGCATTTGCGATAAAAAAAAAAAAAAAAAGAACGAAAAATATCCGGTGTTGCATGGACACCACTCGATACAAAAGAACACCGAATAATTATGGCGACAAGATACAAGTTTAGGGGACTTTCCCTTCGCCTTATACTCGGAGCCATGGCGTGCCTAATTTGTAACTTGTATTTAGGTTAACCTTAATGACCGGATTCTCTATTTTCTAGCCCGGTATCGACCGATCCATTCTTTATTTATTTACTCATTTGTTTATTTATCTATCTTACAATTATTTTCTTCCCAGGGTGACGATATATTTCAAGTAATAAGAAATTATATTTCTGAAACTTGCACTAGAATCAAACTTAAACAACTGAGCGAACAGCTGCTCGGATCTTTCCCAAAAAAAAAAATGCATTTTTTAAAAGGAAAATAAGTGTATTAATATATTCAACATTTTAAGCGGTTCTTCATGACGTAAAAAAAATTAAAAAAATAACAAAAGAAAAGAAAAACAAAAACAGGAAAAATAGAGTGGAACTATTTTGAAATAAAGACTGCAACGTAATTGGCTTTTCTTTAGTTTTCTTTTTTGTTGTTGTTGTTGTTGTTGTTGTTTAGTTTTCGTGTTTGTTTTGTTTTACAGCGGTTACCACTAACACGCGCCCTAGAAGGGTTTTTTCTCTCCGGTTGAAACCTGAGTTTTCGTGGACGTCAATCAACTGTTTCCATGGTTTTCTCACGCGCTCTGACAGAGAAGGTTCCCTCATCGCGGAATGAAGGGCCAAAACTTAAAGAATTATTTCGAATGACGACGGCTTTTTTAATTATTTCATTATGATAACGGATTATGTTGTTAAAACAACGAGGTCTCTGCGAGCTGAGTGAAATAGCCGAAACACTCCCTATAGTAACGTAAAGGTTTTCAGGTAGTTTATTTATTTGATTGAATGAAAACACGGGAGCCGTGGACGAATTACCAAGGAGTGTACAATTCAAAGAAACTAAAGATATCACACCGACAAGATAAAAACGTTTCCTCTGAATGGAGGCTGTTTTCGAAAACGAATTTTCAAACCTGCAGATCTACTTATAATTTTTTGTTACCGAATAGAATCCAGAACTAGCAAGAACTCGGACGAGTTGCGAGCGAGTATTGAGAAAGCTTATGTGGTTGCACGTGTAAAAAAGTCGATAATTTGAGTTTCCTCTGACAAAAACTCAACCACTTCGTACTCCTCGTAATCTTGACATGAAGCTGTGTCAGAAAATATTGCAAAAACGGCTTAAACGCGGACATGCTCTTCTAAGTGGTCGAGAAATGGGGAAAGAATCTTCTCTAGTCCAACGCGTGAAAAACCATGGTAACTGTTGATTGACGTCCACCAAAACGCAGGTTTGAACCGAAGAAAAACCCTTTGAGGGCGCGTGCAGTGTTAGTGGTAACCGCTGTAAGTCCCGGTCTCTTTTTAAATTCCACTTTGTTTGATCAAATAAACAGCAGGATGATCTGCGATCGGACTATAGAATTCCCTGGGGTACTTCTTTATAATATAAGATATCTGCTCCGTCTCGATGGGAACTCATCTGTTGAAGTTACTGATTAGATACTATAATTAAGTACATAAGCTGCATAGCTATATAACGTTTTAGCCTGAGCAGGGTAATGCGTTTATGGGATTAATCGTGTATGTTGTGAAATAGAGTAAGGGAGTTAAGGAATTATGCCTCGTGGCATCACCGGCATTTTGCAGTAGGCTTTGATAGATTGAAGTAGCATAATTTTTGGCACAATTAGTCACTACGAGCATAATTTTCATCTATTTTTCGAGAAAAAAGCACTGCTAGCATAATTTGCACTTTTTTGCGGTACAAAAATTGTCATTTATTGAACACACGCAACCAATGTTTTTGGTCCGAGATCTGTGTTACAGGCAAATCTAAGCAACGAATTCATTTATTTGTCTATGGTTACCCTAGGGTAGCGTCTGCGTGTTGGTTGTTTATTGTTTGAGTTTTTATACTTGTCAGACAATAAATTAAGGACTCTTAAAGTTTCTTGATGTAAACAGGGTAAATTAGTTTGCCATTTATTTGTAAATGAAGCACTGAGGTGTTTTTTTTTTGGTTTGTTTTACCAAATTTAAAGTAAAAAGTGAGAAACATGATTTCGGCCTTTTTTTGCTGAAACGCCGACGAGCTTAATTTACAAAAGCTAGCAGAATTATTGGCATAATTTTAGAAATATACGAGCACTGCAAGTAGCATATCATGCTACTTTTGCGAGAACAATCTATCAAAGCCTATTTCCCAGGGGTACCCCCTTCCTCCCCCTCGCCGCTTACTCGTGGTTATTAAAAGTTGCGTGCATAACTCTTTAACACCCACGAAATAAATTCAGTGGCATGCTATGAACCATGATAATTTTGTTTTCAACAGGTTGGAAGATGGCAGGCATGAAAACATTATTCATTATTTTCGTTATCATGTTCCCAGTCGCGATGATAACAGAGGAAGATGTAAATCATGGAGGTAATAACTACCACAAAAATTTATTTGCGCACCTGCGGATTGTCACCATTTTATTTCAACATCCGGTCTCTGCTTCATGTACAGAAAGCCGCTTAACATTTTCATTTTTACACTTTACCTAAAGTATCATTCCGCGCATTTATTCACCATAATTTTTACACCGTCCATACAATTGGTATGAGAATTGTTTTCAATTTTTCCTGTGGGTAAGCGGTCATCATAAGAGAAATTGAAGACAATTAACCATAAGGCGAAAACCTCTCTAAGAAGGATAACTGACACTTTCAAAACCGTCAACGGTCCCTTGAGAAGTGCTTTAGGTAGTGAAAAATACCTCTAAACGGAAACGTAGGTGCACTACATGACAAGTAATTGCAATTAGGGTAAGCAAATTACATACCCATTCCAAAGGCAGTACGCGTCTTCTTACAGCTCGTATCTTCTAAACACCTCATGGAGAACCTCTTAACCTGTAAAACATCTATCTTCTCCGTCTTTTAGCTGAACTCTTTGAGCCTAATGGGAACTTCAAATGGTGATATCAAAAACAAACCTTTATAACGAATTAATTTTCACAAGCTTAAGTACTTACAGTGATGTACTGTAGAACCCCGGCAACTCGAACTCTGAGGGGAAACGAAAAACGGTTAGAGTTAGCGAGGTATCGGGGTCGATTGAAAAATTCAGTTTACCATGTCGCAGTTATTTTTTGGTCAAGGGAAAGGAATTTTAGTTCGTGTTGGCGAGGAATTCTAATTTTCCGATTTGGAGTTGACTGAGTTAAAATGACTAGAAAGTGGGGTGAAATCCAAGGGAAATTGTACTTAGTTTAAGTTAGTGATCGAGGAGTTCGAGTTATCCGAGTTCGAATTATCGGGGTTCTACTGTATCACTATCTTTTTGTGCTTGAGTATAAACTGTTGTTAAAAGCAGAAAATACTGAATTTTCATTACTTTGTAGCCTTGTTCCGATTCCTCCTTTCTAGTACATTGATTCTGTTTTTTTATTGTTTTGCACAAGTAAAATATATGTGGACTGTATTTATTGCGAATATTCTTGTAATTACTGGCGCCATCTTACTTTGACTCTCTATTACCGGGACAGCTCTCTTTAATAGACGGGGAGTTATTATTATTATTATTATTATTATTATTATTATTATTATTAATTTATTTTAATTTTTATATTTATTATTGTTTTGCACGATTGATAAAATATCGTTAGCTTACAAATTAAAATTTACTGTTCATATGTGTTGCTGGCTTGCAGTTTGTCCTGTTCCAAAGACAAAAGAGGAAGAGGAGTTTATTAAAGAGCGGGAAAGGAACAGAGAGTTAATGGAAGAAATCGCCAGAGAAATTGAAATGACCTGCTTAGGTAAGTTAAAAAATGAAAAAAAGAAACAATAATAATAATAATAATAATGACTTACCCTTTTAGTTTAAGCCATTTAATTTAGTCGGTAAGCAGCGAATCCAGGAAGTTATTCAACCGCGGCAGTGTTAGCTCAGTCGGTAGAACGCGTTGACTGCAGAGCGGGAGGTCGCGGGTTCGATTCCTGGGGCCGGACCAATACTCAGGGTCTTAAAATAACCGAGAAATGAAGGTACTTCCTTTGCACTGCAACAGGCTAGACCTTCGCGTGGCTCGGATGACCACGTAAAATGGCGGTCCCGTCTCCAGTTGGAGACGTAAAATATAGTGTCCTCAATTAGTACTTTCGTGCTGAATACATTGACACTCAAATAAAAAAAGTTCAAATACATACACTGTCTACAGGTAGTCATTTCGATTCCTGAAGGAGGATCATAAGTTGGCAAGATCGATATCTCTCTTTACAGATAACCCACCCAACCCAGGAGAGGTTGGGCACACCACGGGGTCAACGTCCCTTACTCTTACTCGTACCAGGTAAGTGAAAGTGCTGTGTGAGAGGGGACCCACGGGTTTTCGTCCTTATATCCTAGAAGTCTCAAGAAAGTCTAACCGTTTGCAGATGTCATTACGAAGGCAGCGCTTGCTTCTCAGTAATTTTAAGAGGCTGAGTGTTTTTGCGGTCGGGATTTTAACCCGCGACCTCCAGCTCAGCAAACCAGCGCTCTCCCAGCTGAGCTAACCAGACGGCGGAGGTTAATAAGAACTTGGCACACTGCTACCTTATTATGGAAATCCTGACTGATCCTGTCAGAGTTATAACCAAACATTGTGGGCAAAAATCCACCGTCTAATTTTGGTATTTGTTTACTACTCTTTTCAATTTGATTTACCCCTATTCCGGAAAGCTAACTACAAGGCACAATTCCATGGATTATAAGGCTATAAGTTGGACTAGATAATAAAGGAATGAAAGAGAGCAAGCAAGAAACCTCCAGAAAACATTTATGCCAGTTTTAGTCTTTTCTCAAAACGCACAAAATTTTCGGACTTGGAACCAGTAATGGTAAACATTTTTGACAAATGATTTCTAGTCCATGAGCCGTTTTGTGAGAAGAGGGCAAAAATTCAATGAAGTAGTAATCCCTGATTAGACATAGTTTCCTTGTGACAAATGTATATCAAATAAATCATATTGGAGAACTGCAGAAATGAAATCAAATGAAGAATGATCCTCGCAGTTGTGAACGCAATTTTTTACGCAATTACGTAAGAAGCCTGAAAAAAAATTCAGGACTTTAACGGCATTTGAACCCGTGATCTCGCGATACCGGTGCGACGCTCTAATCAGCTAAGCTATAAAGCCACTGATGTCGTAGGTGGTCAAGCCATTTTTGAGTGAAAACGCATGTTTTTTCAACTTTTTTGCGATTTTAATCTGATTTCTAATTCTTTCTAAAATCCACCCAAGACGGGCGGCCTAGATGGCGTTCATTGTTGGTGACGTCACAGGGCTCCAGCAGCGCCTCCACCTATAAATTATACTTCATCTTGAGAGAAGATCAGAGGCTTTCCACTAAAGGCAAAATCGTTTCGAAATACTGCAACATATCAGAAACTCCGAGGAGGGATTCCATCAACCCCCTCCCCTTGTACCACGGTGGGGGTATGAATTTGCCTGTACGTCCGATTGTTAATAAATCCGAATCAGAATTTCATGGATTTCCCGTATTACCGTTCTATTAGGAAATGCGAAAAAAGATTTGTAAAACTGTTCGCGTGCAAGACAACTGTTCTTGAGAACAGCTTTTCAATAAAAGCAGAACTTAGCTGTGAAACTAAAACTTGCCGACTAGTAACAGCGGAGCTCAGACTAAACGTTAGCGTAAACGGAAAAGAGCCAATACCGCTATTAGCACGACAAATTAGTGAATTTACGCAACAAGACGGCAGAAAGAAGAGGACGGCAAAACGCTTGTATGCGACAATCGTGACAGGTCTATTACTTACGTGTTTTTTGGTGATCTTTACTTAAGTTAATGTTTTCTGGTCTTTTGCAAAAAGACCCGTTTAAAGAAAGGGGAAGTTCGGCGGAAAAGTTATTTGAACAAAATTATTTTCACGCTTGTTACACAAGGTATGCCTTCTTCTTTCCTCTCCCGTACTGTTGCGTAAGCTCACTCTTAGTGAACTTAATTTCGCAACTGGACGGGAGAGGAAAGAAGACGGCAAACAAGCGTGACAATAATTTTGTTTGAAACAACTTTTCGCCAAACTTCACTCTCCTTTAAACGGAATTTTTTTGTAAAGACTAGTAAACGTTAATGTTAGGTGAATATATCACGACAAAACTAGCCTGTGAACAGGCTCTCTGTTTGGGGAAAAAAATAGCAAGGAAAGGGAAGGGAAGGGGGGAGAGAGCCTGTAGACACACGTTTGAGGCCGCTATTCCGCCCTCTTGTAATTATCTTGCCGAACATCTGTCAGCAAGATCGTTATCTGTCAATCAATTTCGCGCGTGAGTAACTCCTGGGAAAAGGGAAAACATCCGTGTTTTGCTTCGTCTCAAAACAAAGTGAAATGGACCGCGAGCCTAATTGTCGATTTTGAAAAAAATCGTTGATCTCCGGTAAGAGAATTAATACGGTGCCGGTCGTTGGCGTTTCAAGAAATAAGACCTTGCTGGTTGACAGTGGCCAAGACAGCGTTGTACTAGCGGAAGCGTTTGATTGCTCAAGATTTCCTCTTGTGCAAGGAGAAAGCTTTTCCGATTTAAGCTGCTTAACTTGTGCTCATCGCGCCGTTCGTCTTGCTAGTTCAGTTTCTAATTCAACAAGCCCCTGCAATGAGCGAACTTGGAATGCGAAAGGTACGGATACTATCATGACTTCTCCAGAACGTGAACCTCCAAAGACAAGTACAAAGAAATCAACAGCGCTTCGATCGCCGACAGGAATTACACCTTTGGGTATTTATCCCGCATTTATAGCAATAAAAGAGGGCGGTAGGCCTACACGGCGTTTACCTCACGCCAAAATGCTGCCTGTTCCCATAAGTTTTTTCCTCTGCTCGGTAGATTATGCTCTGGAAGGTTCTACATTTTCACTGAGTAAATATGGTTTTAGCCGCTGGTTTCACACTGAGAGGTCATGGCATACATATCGATTTACTGTGGTTTTTGTCTCTGGTCGGCAGGATTTGCCCTCTCTGATGCAAGAGCATTTTCTTTGACCTCTTTTGAAGCGTAAACCTTTTTATTGCGGCTGAATAAGGGTCGTACTTTTCTCCAAAGTGCCCTCTGGATCTGAATAACTAAACGATTTTCTTTAGTCCGTAAATGTAATGTTTTTCTGAAATGTTGTATCACGCTGGGTCCAGGTCGTTAGTTTCTTTGCAGAATGTTTAAAATGATCACGGAGAGTAATTTACAGATCCAAAGTTATAAGATTCAAGTGCAGCTTAAACCGAAGCTACATCAACTATGGAGAATTGCATTTTGACTCGGTAAACTCCAGCCTAGTGTTTTTCTATCCATTAGATAGTGTGAGTCTTTTGACCGAAGCGCGTAGTTCCTCCCTGGGTAATAGCTTTTGAACAACAGTCTTTGGAGTGTTTTGTTATTTCCAAACGCGTGTTACGTGCCGACCGAAAAGCCGATGTCAATCAGACCTTTCAACAGTCAGTGTTCTCGCCAATAAGAACTTGCATCAGGATCTGATGCACAGCGGGTGCCGTGGAACGGCGGTCCCAAAGGCTTGTCCACAGGCCTTTTCGCTTTTCCCTCTCCCTAATTCCCTGCTCGACCAAAGGCCTGTTCACAGGCTACGACAAAACACGTACGTAATAGTCCTGTCACTTTTGTCACGCACAAGCGTTTTGACGTCCTCTTCTTCTTGCCATCCTGTTGCGTAAACTCACAATTATCCCGCGCTGACGTCAGTCCAAAAGCACTCAAGATACTAAGACCAAAAGTTCAATTTCACTTGCATAGCAACCACGTAGCCTAGCAACACGATACGACAAGGGGCCCTAAGGCACGTAACGTTTCTTGATTGGAGTATTCAGACCAACGTTTTCTCAGTAGGATTCTTGTTGAAAGCACGTCAACAGATATATATATTTTTCATAGTTTATAATAATTTGAACCAGGAGATCATGATCTCAGTTGTTTGAGCTCAAACATTGTTGCAAATATAAATAATCAAAACAACTGTTAAGCTAGCTTAAAGTGTGAAAACTAACTTTATCGGTAAAGGAAGAAAGAAATTCTTATAAGTAAGTTCTACTTGTTGATTTGTAGACGAGTGTGAAACAGGACTACATAACTGCCACGATGATGCACACTGCACCAACACCAAGCGTTCCTTCACGTGTACTTGCAAACCAGGATATTCTGGGGATGGTGTCAACTGTGCAGGTAACAAACCAGTCTACATACACAGCGTGAACTTACAGTCTAAACTTTAGTTGTACGCCATCGTAGCAGAAATAAGAAATAAGCCAATAAGAAAGCTGCAAACTGGTTTCGTATTTATCTAAGTGACATATTGCTATAAGTAGCATGAAACAAAATAAACAAAATAAGTACTCCTTGCCACTGAATTTGTTTTGGAAAAATTAATTCAAGCGTAGACCATTTCAGGGTTACCGTTCGAATGCATTGCACTACTATCTCTCATTCGATAGGAATAAAAATCGAACTTGGTCAGTCTGATAATTTACCCTTATTTATTTCCAGACGTTGACGAGTGTAATACAAAAAAACACCAATGTGATGAAGCTATTTCAGTGTGCGTTAACACTGAAGGATCCTTCAAGTGTTACTGTCACAAAGGGTATTTTAAAAGTGGACAACATAAATGTACAGGTAACATCCACTTTAAGATCTCTTAATTGAAACATTCAGATGCTT